ATGAGGAAGACATAGGAGCCGCATAGTTTCTGCAGGGAGGACAAAAGCAGGAAGTTTTAATTTGAAAAGCTCATAATGCAAAGTCATTTGCTGTTGACAGGCCAAAATTTTAACACCTTTCCCCAACAATGCCCTTACTAACAATCCTTTAGCCAGTGGGGGTTTTTTTTAAATGATATCAGGTTCCTATGGGCTTCTGAAATGCTTTAATGTTCTTGGGGGTGACAAAAATTGAGGTTTTTAAAAGGGAAATCCCTGATGTGCTAATTAAGATGTATCTTCCAACTATCTGTAAGCTACAAGTAGTTAAAGACAGCAAAAATCTGAGGTGTGCCACAACACTTAATTTTCAGTAACAATCAGAACGCAGAATCAGTGACCTCTGGAAGACTGACCAGCCCTCTGCTCAAAGCAAGGACAACTTCAAGGACAGATCAGATTGATAAGGGTCATACAGTCAAGTTTTGACATCTCCAAGGATGGAGACTCTACAACCACTCTGGACACCCAATCCAAAGCTACAGCACTCAGCACTTTGCAAACTGGGTCCTTACCTCTGCATAGGGGAAGAGCATTCCCACCAAGAAATTAGAGGTCCAGTTGGAACAACCAGCCACTGCCATGGCTGCAGGCCGTGGGCCCTGGCTGAAGAGCTCTGCCACAATGAACCACGGGATAGGGCCAGGGCCAATCTCAAAAAGAGCCACAAAGCCAAAAGTGGCCACAATGCTGATGTATCTGATCCACAGCACAATGTCCTGCAAGGGAACAAAATAGGATCAGCTGCAGTTTGAGGCTAATATGGCACAGCAGTGCCACCTCCAACATCACAGCTTTCTCGGCTGCACAATGAACACTGTGGCACGATTTCCACAGTTGTGCTCTCCACAGCACACTCGGCTCTAGCCCCAGCTGTACCTGCCTACACAGCAGCACTGCAGGGCAAGGCAGATATATATAGTCTTATAGGTCTCCTGCTGGGGTCAACCTAGACAAGAACATCAGTTACTCACCTTCAGAGCTAAAGCGATGGTCATAAGAACAGCACACACAGCCATGCCACCCAAACCAACTAAATGGAGGGTCCTGCGCCCTGCACGCTCCACCAGGAACAGCTGGAAACATGGCAGAAGGAGAAAAAAACCCAAAACTATTACTTGGGCAGCAAGAGCAAAAGAAGCTCCCCTTCCTCAGTGTACCTTTCACCTCTTTTATCAGTGCCATTAGTGATCTCAGTGCAGGTCACCAGGCTGCTCCACCTTTTGCGGAAGTTTTTGCTCTCTGGTTCTTGCTACTGCCTTCTCTCAGGATTCCTCTTCCCCATCCCCTGCCCATGCACTCCTTTTCACCCTTTCTTTCATCTAAAAGTTTGACAATCTCTTTCTGCAGTCCTTTCCTCCCACAATGCTTTTAATGCATACTTTTCTTTGCTCTTATAGGCACATGTAGCACAATGCTAGTGTGCTGTGGGCCTAGGACAAAGTTCTGTCACAGCCTGGCTACTTGTCTTCATTCACATCTCCCCAAAAAGCCCAAGCAGACACCGCTAACCAGAGGGCCCGTTTCACTTACCGACACAACAGTAAAGACTGTGTTTACCACACCAGCTCCAATAGTGGCATACACAGGTTGCGTGATTCCAGCTCTTTCAAAAATCCCTGTAGAATAATAGAATACCTGGGAAAAGAAGCACAAGTTGGTCACTGTCACAATTCCAATATCTGAGAGCATGTCCCTCATTCTCCGCCCAATGGCTTGCAGGCCCAACAGGGAATGTGAAAGCAGCTCTCAGCAGTATAAACAGCATGCTTCTAGTCAAGGTTCATTCACTTGGTGCAAGATGAAATGTCTTGTCAGGGTGCACGGCAAAAATGAAAGCCCATATAACCTCCACCTTTCATTTTCACAATCTCTGCAGTATCACTAAACAAGTGACTTCCAGTCACGGTGCAAAACATTTCTGGAAGCACAACTCTCTCAACATTAATGGTGAGTGTAGCCAGACAGAGGCCAACAGACAGGACAGGAAGATAACTCACAGCATTGATGCCAGAGAGCTGTTGGGAGAGCTGTAGCATGATGGCAATGATAATAGCCTGACGGTAGTTTGGAGAGCGGAAGAGCTCTGGCACAGTTGCTTTCTTTTCCTGGGACATTTTAGCACTCTCTTCTTTCATCTCCAGGATGTCCTGAGACACATCTTCTGTACCACGGAGCTTCTGGAGAACTAGAGGGAGGAATCAAAAAACACCAGCTATAATACACCCACCACAGCCAGCAGACTCTCCTCCTCCTGTCCTGCTGTTTCAGGGAGGGCACCCTGGAAGACTGAGCCACCTACCAGTCAAGTGTTTGGGCTTGCTCTGTGGGAAAAACTGAGCCTCTACACATAACCTCACTCATCTTTTCAACCCAGATGTTGGTGTGCTGTGATCAGCATGGAAACCAGGTCCAGGTCCTGCTCATGCTGCTAAATTTCCAGACTTACATCTGATCCCTAATTCTATTCACACACTTGTCAGAGCTGACTCCAGCCCTCCTTGTTGAAGGGCAGGAAATAGGCTGGCATTTAAGAGGAGCCCACAGAGCTGCAGCAGCTGGCCCTGCTACATCCCATCAGGCCAAGTGCCGCTCCTCACACCTTAATCCCACCTGGAGTCTGTTGGGATGCCAAGTTTCTCACACTTCCTGGCACTGGTGCAATCTGAAGGATGGGAAGGTGGGCCTGGTGCCCTCCAGGAGTCACACCCTTGATCCACCACAAGCTCCAGAGTAAGGCTTGGCCTCCCACTCAAAGTCAGTACAGGCTGGGAGCCAGAATACAGCCCTGCCTCTTCAGACATTAGGTCTTACCTGCTTGTGCTTTCTCTTCTTCCATCTTGTTGATCAATAAGAAACGAGGGCTCTCAGGGCAGAAAAGAAGAGCAACACACTGCAGGACTGCTGGGAGGACTGTGAACCCCAAAAGCAGTGGCCAAAGTGCTTCAGTCCCCATGATTGCCTCCAGGCCGAAGATCTACACCAAGAAGAGAAACAGCAGGATTTAAATACTTCGATTCCTCACCCCACACCAGTATGACCACATCCAATGGCAAGTGCAGCCAACCTCACCCTCCCCCAGCCCTTGTTTTCCCTGAAGGAAAGACGAGGTTGTGCCAAGCCTACCTGGGCCACCAGAATGCCCACGACAATGCCCAGCTGGTTGAGGGTGCCAAAGGCTCCACGGAGGCTGGTGGGTGAGACCTCACTGATGTACATGGGCACAAAGCCAGTGCAGAGACCACAGAAGATGCCAATAATGAAGCGGCCAATGACCAGCATCTCCACTGCCTTTGCAATCTTAGAGAAGGCCATGAGAATGCCACCAACAAAAGCCAAAATGTTCACCAGTAGCATGGAGTTCCTCCTGCCAGGGTAAAGACACCAAAACTGAGTTTAAACTGGTAATATAGTGGAAAAATCATTGGGAGAGTGATAAACCCACCCATGACCCCATCTCAGGAGTGGGAGTGGAAAAGAGCAATTCTTATTCAGCTCACACCTTGGCCTGCAACCCTTCTTCTTCAGCAGCCTGCAACCCTTCTTCAGCAGCCTGCATATTCTTGCTTCTTTCCCAGCCTCCTCCTCCCTTTCTCTCACCTCTGCCCTCTTCCACCCAACACTCCAGTGCAGACTGGGAAAAAAACCCTAATGGCTTGGATCTGTCATCCCAACTTACCTGCCAAATCTGTTGACAAAGAGGCTGACTGAGAAGGAGCCGATCATACCTCCTACTGAGAAGATGGCCACAGAAAGAGACCACAGGGAGGTGAGGAGCTCTGGGGAGACAGCCTCCCCACTTCGTTCTGACAGGGTTTTGTTGAAGAAGCTCCGGATTATCTGCAAGAGAAACCAAGTAGGAATAGTTGCAATCCAGTGAGAGGCATCTTGCACTGGGAAGAGGGAAGATTACTTTTGAGGTAAGCCTGAAAAGCCAGAACATTACATACAACAACCCTTCATTGTCCCATGGGGATGTCACAGGGCTGCATTTCCCATTTCTAAGGCATCCTCTTTGATAACAAGAGAAATTCTGCAAGGGCTGAGGGTGAAGTGACCTCAGAGCATCTGTCCCCAGCAGATGGCAGCAGGACACCAGCTAGGGACGACAACCTTCCCCTCACCCCCGGTAATGTGACATCTGTTCCCGGAGACAGGGTGGATGTGGCATTGGTGACTCAGTTCTTGAGAGCTTACAAGAAAACTACATTTCTCGTTTTTCTTCATCTCTTCTCTCTTAGGCTACAGTCATGAGATGATTTTATCAGAGTACCTCAGTCACAAGTCTTTTATACAAGCACTGAATCGACACAAGGAATTAAAAAAAAAAAAAAGAAAGAAAGCAGCATGAAATGGTCCCCGATACAAACTAAACTAGAGTAGCTATAATCCCTACTGTCCCTCAACTGTTTTCTACGTGTTGGTCTCTACATTCCTTCTGCCATGGCTGGTTTACTCCAACTCAAAACTGAAGTGGCTCACATTCCTCCACACAAATACAGACCAACAGGAAATTGCAGATGGAGCCATCCTGCCTACTCTGCACTTCAAATGCAGTGAATCAGCCTCCCTACTCGCTCTCTCTCCTCCCAAAAACTTTGTCCTTCCTGTCCACTGTTGCAGTTGAGAGTGGGGTTTGAATGACTTCACTTCATAAACTAGAACCAAATCATTAGCTGCTTGGAAGACAGCTCCTCTCCTTTCTACACCTTTGTTTTCCCCATCAGCCCCTCACTGGTACTATCTCCCCAATTCATTCTCCTTCTCACCTTCTCAGGAGCATTGATGACACCAGTGTTGTACCCAAACTGGAGAGATCCAATGGCAGCAACGGAAACAGCGTAAATAAGGGGTGCTGTGATTTTCTATGGAAAGACAGAAAATAATTTAGTTAATTTTGTTATTCACGCTTTCCACACAACTTGAGTTTCTCTTCAACATAAACAGCAGATGCAGTTCATAGGTGCCCTGTGCAAGTGCGCCAAAAGCAGAGAATGGACTTTTATCCTGCAAGGGTGGGTACCAGTAACAGAAACCTTAGAAAGGGAGATTCAACTGTACAGCAGGAAAAAGTTCCGTGACTAGAAGTAGGAGGGCCTGTCAGGACCTCCCCTTTATTATCTCCTGACCTGCATCAACTATTCTCAGCTCATTAGTAATGAATACACTGGCTGCATTAGTGGCTGTTATTTTGGGTTCATCTGCTTTACAGAAAAGCTTTTGCTGAGCTCTGGCATGGCATGAAACAACGGTCTTAACTCTTCCCTTTGCCAACTGACAAGTTCCCATAAACCAAGTCTCAGATCTGCCCATGAGCTATAATACTGGCAGTCACTCCTAACAGTTAAAACATGCACTCTTCAGCAACAGGCTTGCTTTTCCCAGGCTAGAGCTTCCCCAACTCTGCCTCAGGGCACCTGGCACAGCAGCCTGCCTCTGTGGCAGCCTGTTTCAGAGGCGGCGGCAGCAGTTGCTGCCAACCTTCCCGTTTATTTTTCTTGAAGTTGTGGCAATACTTGCCATTTTAAATGAAGCACAGTCCCTGGAATTTGAGCAGATGTGAATCTCTATTAAAATAAAAGCTGCTGTGCCCTCAGAGCCACAGAGGAGACTTGGAGGTCCAACCTCAGAAGTCATACAAACCGAAAAATTTAAGTGTCAATGAAATGCATCCTGACATCTTCTATGTTTTTGAAGCTTCTGGCATTTAAGCCAGCTCTTTGTTAGGGAGGCATGGGGGAGCAGATGACTCAGGAGTTGGCACTCAGACAGACAGTTTTTGAGTTAGCACAATTTGCAAAGATCATATTTCTATCTCAGGAGTGTTTGGAAGCATTTCCAAAAATTTTAACAGTCCTTTTCCAAAGCCTTCCAATTATTATCCTCAGGCTGGCAGAGGAGAGAAAAGTACTCCATGGGGCCTCCTGTCACAGCTCCTCCAGTCTCTCTCATTCCAGTTCAGCTCCAGGAATAAACAGTGTCTCCCAAGGCTACCCAAAATCTTTGCCAATAACCTTCTGCCAGTGCTCATACCACCTTACCAGTCTTCCAAGCCAAGCATGTAGGTGCTTCTGGCCTGAACAACCCTTGCACGGCTATCAGTTAGGCCCCACTACACAGGGGAAATTACTCTGGAACATGGTTTCCCCCCACCTACATCATGCAAATGTCTCATGCTGAGCTCTCTTGCTGCCAAGGTTATCCATGGAGAGACAAAGGGGACACGGTCCTTTTCTTGTATGGTGGAGCACATGATTCCCGAGGTACTGTTCACACCTGAATATACCTTAGGGGGTGTCTAGGTCTTCTTCCCCCTGTGACTGCTCCCCTCACTTCTGCTGCAAGGAAATTTGGCACAGAACCATAAGGACACAGCTCTTCCAAAGCATCTACATGCCTCTAAAATGGCACTTACACATCTGAGCACTTTCAGCACTCTAAGTCAGATCACCCCCAATCAACAGTTACAACACAAAGCTGAGGATAAAACCCAGCTCTCCCCATTTTCAACAGTGACTCAACATACGAGCATCGTTCCCACCCAGGGCTCTGCTTTGTCATGACTTGCTGTGGCCACAGCCAGCCTTTTTCTTCTAGGCGCAGCAGGGACTGCAGGCTGTCTGTTTTGTGGGCACCTCGTACCTACATAAGCTACAAGGTTGTGTTCTTCCACCTTCTTTCATACTCTCTCCTCCTGGCTGTTGCCTGCTATTCATATCCTACCACCCAGACACTAGATGGCCTGACCCAAACCCTCCTGTGAGCCAGCCAGTGACCTAATGTTTGGATCATCTGTTACTGCTAGAAGCACCTCACTTCCCAAAAGGCAAACAGGGAGCTCAGAAATAGCACAGAGCTACACCCACCCTACCCAAACGCTCAAGGCTGAGAGAGGAATTCAAACCACCACCCCTCCCTCTGACCACAGGCATCAGCAGCACCCATTACCCAGGAGATGCTTCTCACCAGCCCCCTCTCCCCTTCACCGCCTGGAGCCTCAGAGCAGCACAACCTGTTGAACCCAGCTAAGGCAGCCTCCGAGCGACCTTGAGCAGATGTTCTCCTTTGCTCTGCCTCATCTGCCCACACTACCATCAACCTGGCGGTGCGGGCCGGTTCTGTTGGCCTCTGTAACTAATCCCCGGCCGGGGTCGGCAGGACAGTCGCTCTCTGCCCTCCCGCCTGCCTGCTGTGCCCCTCTGATGCGCTCCGGCACACGCGGGCATTAGCTCGCCTCAGCGGCGCACGCCTCGCTCGTACCCACAGGCCAGCTATGTCTGCTCTGTTCCTAGTTCTTCAAAGAAAAATGGGGGGAAAAATACGCTTGGGGGAACAAAATACGCTTTGCCGCCTTCTTGGAGTTGCACAGTAACCTTATCGTAAGCCATACTACCACCAAAAAAAAAGCGCCTTTAAGAGCATCACGAACGCCGGGACGAACGCCCGCAGCCCTGCCAACAAAATAAACCTC